CATTTTGGATTTCTCAATTCAGGTATTACCAATAAAGATATTCGCATTTTGGATCTTTCTAAACGTACATTTATGGACGTATTGATTAAAATTGATGATTGATTCGTTTAGACGCGGAGTGAATAATGCAGCAATCTAGTATTATGACACGGTCTTAAATGATTTGTGTCACCGGCACAAGCCTGTCGGCGTTCAAAGATTGGATCCACAGTAATGGCTAATGGGGTACGTTAACTACAGCACTTGGTTGTTTATGCATGAAACTGTTTTGATGATAAGTCGTGTTCTGTGGATTTAAAATTTAAATATTTATTACTCGTAAATATTTATTATCTTGTCATGTATTAGGGGGGTAAAAATTAACTGAAATTAACTCTCTATATTTTGACGTAATAAATACAATTTAACAATGTTTTTAAATCTACTACCGTTTTATCTTCGAATTATGTTCCTTTGTCGGCAGAAGAAATGGCAAAAGAAACTGCGGAATTTCTTTGCCGTTTCTTCTGCGGTATCCACTTTTTGTATTTTTTTAAACTAGTAAAAATATTATGTTTTTAATTATAATTAAAAAGGAATAGATCTAGAGATAAAATGCGTTATAAATAAAAAATATATGTAAAATTTGTAAAATAAAACCTAATAAGTATATTTGAACTACTCACTGCCTCATATTATTACGTGTGTGTCTTAATAGGGACAGAGACGGGCAGTGCTATGTTGCTAATAACATTTCAAAATAATAAAATACTACGTTTGCCAACCCAAGCGTGGCAACTATAGCAAATATCTCCCTACGAGGCAATACATGGGAGAAGCCTATCCTTAACAGTGGAATTTTAATGAGCTGTAATGAATTGATAAATAAACGAATAAATAATAAATATTTATTTCGAGAATTCGAACGTCTTTGCGGGAGATCTTTGATCAGCAGTGGAGTTGGGCAAGGCTGGAATGATGATGATTATAAAGAATAAAAGAGGCAAAATATGCGCTGTTTTATTCCAGTTTGGAAGGTAAGGTCAGTATAATAACAGACTTAACGGATAAGGCGTTAGTTATTACATTTTCAGTGTAAAGTTTGTGTAACATTGTACGGCGTAGTATCAGGTTTTGAAATTGCAGAGTTTGAGTTTAATATGGAAATTTTCTTCAAATATCGGCTTTAGCCCTCATGCGATTTGATTTGTTTTAAAGGGATTGGTTTGTTCACTTCCCATCGTATGAATCGCAGACTCCTTCGTTGCAGTCTGTTGTAGCCCATAGACATCTACATTTATCACTAATTAAGAATCAAAATGCAGATATGGTTTTTGAGGACTAAGGTGGAATGCTATTTTGCATAAAGGTGATTCTAGTCTCGCAAACACTCGAAAATGGCTAGAAGTTTTTGTGTGTATTTGAGTGAGTCCTTGGACGGTTCAGATTCACAATCGGATCCGCCGGGATGGAACACTAGTATTATTTAAATATCGAATCGAACTAGTTATTACAAAGATACATATACAATTTAGAATTTTACTCGCGTTCATGAATCGCATCACGCACGACTGTCGAACTGGTTTTTGTGACAAAAAGCTCGTTTCACATTGAGACAATGAGCTTACCCATATCGGTACAGTTACGTGCGATAACTGTTGGTACTGGTTTACATAGTGTCTTCCGATGTAGAAAGCGAACCGCACAATTGGGTGAGACGAAATAAGGAGGCTGTGAACGAGGAAACGCAACAGTCACGCGAGATTTTGTGTAAGTGTTCTTGATTAATTATTGTACCCGTGGTAGCTCAGAAGTAAGGTGCTCGGCGTAAGCATAGTAAACATGGGTTTGATTCCCGTCGTCAGAAGTGAAATTATTTATTGCAATTTAAAGAGCTGATTTACCACATGTTCGGCGGTAAAGGTATATCGTGAGAATCGCAGGTTTGAGGAAATAAGATATTTGAATTATGCTGCAGATTAAGCAAGGAAGGATCACGTTCTCATAAAATACAAGCTTAAAACTGCTTTGTTTTGTATAGCGAGTGTAGAGACTCTTTTTACTGGAAGCGAGGCATTCAATCTTAATCCTCAGGGGTGACAAAATATCTGCACTTTGATCCTTAATCGTAGATGACAATAAACATCTATCATTCGTTTACTATCAGGTAGATTGTGTGCTCGTTTGTCACCATTTTTCTGCAAAAAATCTTTACGAATGGGGTTAAAGAGTGTTGTAGTCTTACAGTGGTGTGCTTGGGTTTGGATTTAATTTCAACATGTAAGGTCGGGAAAAAATTTTCTTCCTATTTTATAAACAAATTCAAGACATTCTTTTCAAAGTTTAATTACATTTAGTTATAATATATATGTGCCATTTTGTTCGATAACTTCTTGTCATCTCGTAGGAGGTAACATAATCCCGTTGCTATAAAAATTATGGGATTTTTTTATTAAAAAAAATGCGACAAGTAGTTTTGACAGTCCTCTCTTGATGTTAACTTAACACTGAACAAAGAATTCTGAAGAGACCGAAACAGGTGAAAATCGGAGGAGTATATGGTGGATGCATTAACAATTCCTAACCAAGCTCTCTCAACTTATGTTGAGTAGCCAAAAATGTGAGTGGTCTGGCGTTATCATGATGAAAGACCATTCCTTTTCGGTTGATCAATTCCGGCCGTCTCATTAGTTATTGGCGGTAGATATCCGTATTGATGGTTTAGCGCGGCGGTAAACTCATCATAATAAACGATGCCCTTCCAATTCCTCAATATTATACACAGCATCGCCTTATTGCGTGTTAATCCACCATGCTCTTTTTCGTACGTTCTTATCGTAGGTGATCCACATTTTATAACCAGTGATCAATCTTTTCAAAAATGGTTCGATTTCATTACGTTCCAATAGAGAATCGCAAGTAAGTACACGATTCATTAGGTTTCTTGCAGTGAGTTTGAGTGGTACCCAAATATCGAACTTTTTTGTATACCATTGAAGTAAAATGAACTTACGTACTAGCTCAATGTGTATATCCAAACTTTTTAAAATTGATTAAAACTGATTTGTGGTTAATCTTCAATTCCTTGGCTATGTCGTACTTACTAATAAGCCGATCTTGATCCTCTTTTTCAAAAATGGCATCGACTACCCGTAAGAGCGCCAACCAGAGCGAGCTGCATCTTTGACATCAAAATTGGGCTGGAAACGCTTGAACCGACTTTGTGCTACTCTTATTGACACTACATTATGTCCATAAACCTCACTCTTTCGCCGCTTGAGTTTTCCCATTCTTGTATTTAAATTCAGAATGCATCAAATTTCTTCGTTAGACTCACTCAACTTTACGAACAGAAAAACAATTGAAAATTGGCGGGAAAGTGTTTTTTACTTTTACTTTTTTTAATATCCTATGTGCATTAATATTAAAACCAGCCAGATACAAATAATACAAACAAAGAGATTTTTCTGCAATTTTATACAAACCAAATAAGAAGAAATAGTGTAGTGGCGGTGTGTGAATATTCACAGCAGTCGTTACGTGGGTTCAGTGGAACAGCATCAAATTTTTAATAACAACTATGTAGAAAATGAAAAAACTGCGGTTGCCAATACGGGCTATCTTTAACAGTGAACTGTGATAGGCTGTTATAATAATGACGATGATGATGATATAAATAATCGAGAATTCATTATATTAAAATATGGCAAAGATAACGCATTATCTTTGCCATATTTTAATATAATGAATTATAATATAAAGAAAATTTTATTGCATAACAATCCGGTCAGCTGCTTAAAATATTTATATTATAGGAGTTATAATATTTAGGATAAGTCTTACATTAGACACTTTAATAGTTTCCATGTGAAATAAAGTAATACATTTATTGTAATGATTAATTTCAGAATATAGAACAGTCCAGTGAAGCAACTGCACAGCCAAAGTTAAGAGTGCCACTGTCTGAAATTGAAGATATTGTAGTGGAACCTTGTACCAGTGCAAAGTCATCAACACAAACTTTAGTGGATGTCGCAAGAACAACTGGATTCAACCTAGGTGTCACAAAAGTAAGCCAAATGACACCAAGAGAAATAAAATTATATAAAATATGCAAAAATAAGATGTATGAGATAATACGATTACGTAACAAAATTAAGAATATTAAGAGAGGGAAGATAGAGAGAGTTTTAGGAGATCACCATGTTGAAGAATTGAGTAATTTAAATATTTGCAATTCATTCATAACTTTATTGCAAAGCCAATTACAAAATTGCCCAAAAAAACCAAAAGGGAGAAGATATACTTTACAACAAAAAATTCAGGCTTTGTTAATTTATAAAAAGTCCCCAGCCTGTTACAGATTACTGACGAGAATGTTTGCTTTACCTTGTCAAACAAGTTTAAATCAACTCCTGAATAAAGTGCCACTAAAACCAGGCATAAACAAGCATATATTTACCTCATTAGAAAAAATGAGCCGGAACCAGGATAAAGAAGACAATATTTGTATTTTATCGTTTGATGAAATGTCTATAAGAAGACATTTGTATTACAATCAAAAGCTGGATGAAATACAAGGATTTCAAGACCATGGCAACCATGGTAGGACTGAAGATGTTGCCTCTAAGGCACTGGTATTTATGCTCACTGGGTTGAGAAAGAAGTGGAAACAGCCCATCGCATTTTATTTCTCCCATACAATAAAGGCAGATAGAATGACAATAATTTTAAAAGAGGTAAAGTATAGTATACTTTTTTGTAACTTTTATTACAAGACTGAAAAATATGTATGTGTATGTTTCAAATTTACACTTGTTTCTTCTTTTCAGATACTTACAGAATGCATTGCAGCAAAGATGAATGTGGTTGCTACTGTCTGCGATTTATCAGCTGTGAATTTGAAAGTTTTTAAAATATTAGGCGCAACATCAACTGCACCATTTTTTAATTTCTGTGGACAGGAAATTGTGTCTATACTAGATCCTCCACACCTTTTAAAGTGCACCAGAAATTTGTTAATGAAGCATGATATTGAAGTAACCTCAGATTTTCAATGCAATGAGAAGCCTGTAAAAGGTAAATAAAATATTTTAGTTTAGAGGATTTCACCCATATCATTTTTTTTTAAATTAAAGTCTTGTTGTGCAGATAATATACATAATGTCTACAAAACAAGAGTCAAATTATGTACTTACTATATAATATCTTATATTTTTTTTTAGGTACAGTGAAATGGAGCCACATTGAAGCATTTTATCAGTTGGACAAAACCAACCCCAATTTAGTTTATGCTCCTCAACTGACAGATAATCATTTGCGTCCAAATTGTCAGCAGAAAATGAGAGTAAAATTAGCAGCACAAGTGTTTAGCCACTCTGTTACAACTGGCATGTTAATGAAAATTGCTCAAAGTAAGTGAATTTATATAAATTGTGCAGCTGACTGGGAATCAGTATTGACTGTGAGATATATATCTTACAGTCAATACTGATTCCCAGTCAGCTGCACCTTAACCTATTGAAATTTGAGCCAAACACTGTCACTGTGGGTTAAGGTGGGGTAATGCCATGAACATATGTATTTTTCAGTGAAAAGTACCTTTGACAGTTAGAGATATTTAAAGAATTTTGACTGTAACAAATAGATACATTAGTAATTAAGTTTGAATTTTGTCACAGACTGCTAACTTTGTACCCTGCTGAACTGTACTGAAGACTTGGGTTTTATATATACATTGTCGATAGTAATATGAATGTGAGCAAGTTTACCTACATGTTATTTAACAACAGAAATAAACAAAACTACCATTAAAACAGCTTGACTTTCTGAGAATCAAGTGAAATCACAACCACGTGGTAGAACCATGCTGCAGCTATATTAGTAGTATAGTTGTAGCACAAATGGGTCGGCACGACCGGGGAAGAACCACGCTCTCATAGAATATCAGCTTAAAATAGAAGCTTAACACTGCTGTGTTTCATATGGTGAGTGTAGATAACCAGAGACCCCCTTTACTGGAAATGAGGCATTCCATCTTAGTCCTCACGGGTGACAATGTATCTGCATTTTGATTTGCAAACGAGGATAAATGTAGATGTCTATGGGCCACAGCAACCACTTACCATCAGGTGAACTGTGTGCTTGTTTGTCACCCTATGCTATAAAAAAAAGAAACTTAGGATGAGTTAGTTGACATCTAGTGTATAATGATATTAATCAAAATATATATATTAATGAAAGCTCCTTGAAGTGAAATATTTTTCCTTTAAATGAAAATATAACTAATTAAACATTGTTTTTTTTTTCTTCAGATGAACTTCCGGCCGAAGCCCATGTGACAGCAACTTTCGTGCAAAAGTTTGACGAGCTGTTTGATGCTGTCAATGCAGACAGTCCAGATTTGAGAAGAGGAAAAAAATACTCGACAAACTTAAATAAAAAGACTCCTCATTTAGCTTTATTTAAGGGTATAAGAGAGTTCATATCGAATATGAAATATATAGGGAGTGAATCAAATCCTCCTTCCCAAGAAGGATGGATTCACACCCTTAATGCTATAGAAAGATTGTGGAAAAATTTGCAGGCTATAGGCATTAAGAGTCTTCCCACACGTCGCCTAAATCAAGATCCATTAGAAAATTGTTTTGGCTGCATAAGATATAGCTGTGGATCTAATAATAATCCTACAATAAACCAATTTATAGCTGGTATTAAAACTGCCATAATTTCAAATTTAAAACATTCAGGGCATAAAAGAAATTGTGAAGATGACACAGCAATTATTTCAAATAATTTGTCAAACTTTTTAACTCCAAATATCTCTCCAATTGTTAAATCACCAACTCTTCAGTTTGATGACACTAAAGAGATGAAAAATTTATTATTTGATGCAGTTAAAGCAGTAGAGCAGGGGACATCCGAAAGTCAAGCATGTGGATATGTGTGTGGTTTCATATTTAAAAAATTAAGGCACAGTAACTGTCTGGATTGCCGAAAAGCATTTTTGTCAGATACACAAGAAATCATACACATGTTCACAAATTTTAAAGAATATGACCCTGCTCAGAACTCTTTAAATTATGTGGGTAAAGATATGGTGACGTGTGTAGAAATGATGGCAAATATAATAAATACATACTTAAAAGCAAATGCCTATAGGATAGAAGTAAAAGTTAACATATTCAGTGCATTGGAATGTGTAGATTATAATTTTCTAAAAAAATGTATCCATCATTTAGTATTGAATGAAAACCATTGAAAAGTAAGCACATTTTTTATAATAACTAAAAGATATTGTGTTTTAAGAAACAGAGATATGGACGACGAAGAGAAAAAGAAAACTCTTGAACGCAAAATGAGAATTTTAAAAAATAAATGATAATACATTATTTGTTGTTTCAATTACTCACACAATTTGAAAATAAATGTACTATAAGAACTTGAAGCAGGACTTTTTAATAATATGGAGCAAGATTTATCATAGCTATTAAATAATAATATAAAGACTCCATACTATTATGAATCATGCTTCATGTTCTTGCACTACTTATTAATTCAATTATTGCGTAATGCAATATCCTTTTTGAAAGTTCCCGCGTATTTTATTTTAATTGCTATTCCGCAATGGCGCCAGCGTCGTGTAGGTGTGTTGGCTGTGGTTGGCCTTTTTTTACTATAGAGATGTTTTTCTTCTCTCGTTAGAGAGTAGTATGTTCCTTGGTCGAGACAGCTCAGTCGCCATAATGCGTTGGAACAGTGAGGAGCGTGCGTTTGCTGTTGAGGCTTACTTTTCGCGCGGATGTTCTGTGATTGCAACTCAGCGCGCCTTTCGAAATCGCTTTAATTTAGCCCCGTTGGCCCCTGTTCCAGACCGAAAATCAATTGTTATGTGGGTCACTACGTTTAGACAAACTGCAAGTGTGACAAAACGAAGAACTGCAGTCCCTCGGCCCATTAGATCACCTGAGAACATTGAGGCAGTCAGAGCTTCAATGTTGCGATCACCACGGCGTTCTGCGCGCAAACATGCATCTGCCCTTGGACTTTCCAGTCGTTCTGTGCGGAGAATTCTCCATGAAGACTTACATTTCCATCCATGCAAGATGGCGACTGTACAGGAACTGTCAAAACGTGACTACGATTCTCGCAGGAACGCATGTGAGATTCTTCTGGATGTCGTTCCTGAGGACGCTATTGTTTTTTTTAGTGATGAAGCACATTTTCACTTGTGTGGATCCGTGAAAAAACAAAACATGCGCTACTGGGCTGACACCAATCCTCGAGAATTGCATGAAAGGCCTTTGCATTCACCTAAGGTCACAGTGTGGTGTGCAATTTCCTCAGCTGCAATTATTGGTCCCTGGTTCTTTGAGGAAAATGAAGTCACAGTAACAGTGAATTCGGGCCGGTATGTAAACATGTTACAGGAATTCTTTTTACCCCGGCTGAATGCGTTGGACTTGGGAGACATTTGGTTCCAACAAGACGGTGCAACGGCACACACTGCAAGAGCATCGATGGCTGTTTTGAGAGAACACTTCCCAGAACGCCTTATCTCAATCAGGGGCGATTTGCAGTGGCCGGCCCGATCTCCCGATTTGTCCCCTTGTGACTTTTTTCTACGGGGTTTTTTGAAATCCCGTGTTTATGTAAACCGTCCAAGGACCCTACAAGATTTAAAGAACAACATCCAGGAAGAAATTGCCAACATAACGCCTGCTCTGCTTCAAAGAGTTATGACAAACACCAGAAATCGGTATACTCAATGTATAGAGAATAAGGGACGTCATCTACCTGATTTGATCTTCAAAACTAAATAAAACAAAACTTTAAGTATGTACTTACATTGTAAAAACCAAATAAAATTTTTCCGATTCATACAATGTGTTTTATTAGGTTTTAAAAAAAGGAAGTTATGCTGCCCCACCCTGTATTATATAGGCTGTAAATTTAACATTTTTAACTTATTTTGGTCTAGTGGTTGTAGTAGTGCGACTGCTGATCATGAGGTCCTAGCTTCGAATCCCGGGTCGGGCCAAAAAATCAATTGTAGAGTTTTTCAATCAAGAAATTCTCATTAGCTGCCCAGAGTTAGGAAGTTGTCGGTGGCTCTCCCCGTGCCTCGGAAAGAACATAAAACCGTTGGTCCTGCGCCTGATCTCTATCCGGTCGTGTATTATTAGAGTGAGGTAATAGAGAGTGCACCTGTGCTTGCGCATACACTTGGACATTATAGTACTGTCCTGCGTCGATGGCTAGTCTCCGTTGAGGCTGGCCGACGTAACCGAAATTCGGTCTGAAGTACATCATTAATAAATTATACAAATCAAAAATAAGTCCTCAATAAATACAAAATCAAGAGTCTCCCTCTTCTTGAGTTTGTATCTTTGTACTGGGGCCTTAGGGTAAATTTTCTGCTCGAAGAACTTATAACCAATGGGGAAGAAAGGTTCTCGAGTAGCAAGGCTCCCGATACCGGCAAGCGAAGTATAGGGCTATCCCTACAAGATGGAGTGACGACCTGGTACGAGGTGCAGGAATTCCATGGATGCAGGCGGCTCACGACTGTGCTTTGCTACTTTTCTAAGGAGGGGCCTATACACAGCTATAGACTTGTGAAAGGCTATTATGACGGAAGTGCTGCTGTGATGGAATGTAATGATGATGAAGTATAAGTACCTAATTAAAAAATAAATATTTATTCCTTCAGGGTTTATATTAAATTTATCTTGTTATTATGCCATACGAGCCATGGTAGCTCGGGAGTCAGCTCTCATTTTAAAATTTTACAGAACGCAAGCAATCAAAGTATGATTCCCGCTGAGTCAGGAAGGTGTAACCTGGAATAAGATTACTCTTACACTCCTATCTTCTTTTTTCTTTTATATTGTAAGTTTGCTTTAAGCGCAAAGCGCGTAGGTATGTTCTACTAGCACCTAAAAATCAAGAATCCAACGTTTTGTCATATTTTACATTAAAAAAGTGGTTTTCACGGCGGCTAGCCTCCACTCGATTTAGTCATCGTCGCAACACAGAATTATAGTGCCCAAGCGTATGTGCAAGCACAGGTGCGTTCTCTATTCCCTCACTCTTACAGTCCGATGGGACGGTAACCGTCACGATTGGAGAGAGATCAGAGCAGGTCCAACGGCTTTACGTGCTTTTCGGGTAAGACACAGCCAACTACCTAACTCCGGGCAGCTACTGAGAATTTCTTGACAGAAAAATTCAATAACTAATTTTTATGGCGCGACCCGGGATTCGAACCCGGGACGTCATGATCAGCAGCCATGCTCACAATCACTTGACCAACCAGCATGCGACGATATCGAAAATATAATCACGCCACATATAATTATAACCAGACTAGAAAGTGTACCGATTACTGTGAACCGATTGAACATTCACAATTGAGGCGTGTAATATGGTATAATTCTGTTCTTGTAGAAATAATTGCTCTTCGTGTACCCAATTATTTTTTTAAATAAAATTTTATTGGCATGTAACCTGTTTTAAGCCAGTTTATATTTGTGATGAGGATTTTAGATCATATGAATTTCACCTACAATTCTGGTAAGAGAGAAGCAATATATATATATATATATATATATATATATATATATATATATATATATATATATATATATATATATATATATATATATATATATATATATATATATATATATATATATATATATATATATATATATACAGGACATCAACGACCGGTCTCAGAGAGTCGCTGCTGAAATAGTTACAAATCGCTTTAGCGCTTTAGTCGCTTAGCTGGTTGTTTAAAACCGAATCGTTGCCAGTCCGAGTTGACGGCTATGTGGTGCAGTGGCTTAGCAATGAGTTACGACGCTGAGGGCCGCAGATTCGAATCCCACACGGACTAAGTATTTGTATGGCCTACAAATTATTGTTCCAATAATAAAAAATGTATGTAATATGTGTATGTAAAATGTATATAAATGTAATAATAAAAATAATAAATGTTTATCCCTATGCAATTTATATATGTAAACTGCCTCCACGATACAGGAGAAAATCCTAGTGTGAGGTAACGTCTTAATAAAAAGAAAAGGAAGGATTGAATCCTTTTGGATGTCCATTAGGGTCATATTATTTTTCCATAGGCATATCAAACATAAATCCAAGTAAAACCCGATACTCGGATAAATGGAAAATAATACCGCAGAGCATTTCTAAAACTTCTTAACAAATCAAAGTTTGTAAATATTTTGGAACACTGTTCTTAGCTTTAAACTTTTTTAAAAATTCTAAAAGCAACTGGTGTCGCTTGAACTCCTTTTTTACCGACTTCAAAATAAAGGAGGAATTCTTAGAACTTTTTTCTGTGGAAATGATTTTAATGAATCTTTTTTTATTTGAAATATGGCGCTTTCCGTGTGGTTCCATATATACTTGATCAAGATTTGACCAGCAGTTTTTGAGTTATCCTTAAATAATGCATATTTAGTTGACTTCGAATACATTGATTCGGTCGTGTTGAAGTCGCTTGTACAAAATTTTAATTTTACCACTTGTTGTTACGTATGAAAACGTTCAATTATTTGAGTCTTTTTACTTTTTATTTATTTGTTGACAAAAGCGAAGTTATTTTCAGTTATACAATCAATTATTGAAAATTATATAGTACACGATAAGCCCTACTTCTTGAGTGACTAAGAAATTTAATTAAAATAATTAAAATAAAAATATGTTGTGAAGTTTGTCAATTCACCTAGCGAACTTTTTTTAAATAGAATATGGGTGACAAACGAATACGCAGTCCACTTGATGGTAAGTGGATACTGTGGTCCATAAACGTCTACATTTACCCTCGATTACGATTCAAAATGCAGATGCGTTGACTCCCCCAATGGATTAAGATTGAATGCCTAATTTACAGTTAAAAGGGTCTCTGGTTCTCTGCACTCATCATACGAAACGCAAAAGCCTTGCTGCTATTTCATGCTGGAATTCTGTGAGAGCGTGATTCCACCCGAGTCAAACCGAATCATTCGTGCTACAACCATAATTTTGCTGCAACATGGCTCTAACATGTATAAGTTCTTGTTACTCTTTCAGAAATGATCTACCTGTAAAATGATCCTATCCACAGAGTTTGTAGTATAAAGTTTTATAAACTCAGCTTCTTGAATCTCCTCATTTTGCGGTAACCGCCGAAAGATTATCAAGTTTTGTACAATTTTATATTTTTAAGAAATTTCTAGAGCATTTTTTTTAGGATAGTAAAATGTATGTTGGGTAAGATGATGCCTCGTTTCGTGGTTTTAACTCATGAATGCAGATTTTTTGTGTTTATTACCACGTAGCAAATTTATTTTGTAGTAGAGGAGGTAATTATAGGTGCAAAATATTTTTTGCACCTATAATTATCTCCTCCTTTAGGTATAACACAAGCATAAATAACTTTTATATTTATGATTAAGCAATAACATAACAATTTTATGGATATTGTTTGTTGGGTTCACATAAAATTTACAACATGCAGGCGATATTATCTTTTTAATATGTTCTCAGTGCATAAAATAAATAACAGGATTTAATGTAGTGCGTGCTTATAATAAAATTTGTAACTTTCAAACCTGTTAATAATCGTAGGTAGCTCAGAATATGCTCAAGAGCTTAGCTCCCATTCAACATCAACCAAATTGTTGGACTACTAAATTCCAAGATACGCATAGAATATAACGATAAAAATTCAACAAATAAATTTAAAAAAAATATGCCGCGTCACCCGCCGAGCGTCGGCATTTCTACATTAAACATCCTATAACTCAAAAAGTATGGACATAAGAAACAAAAGTTTGAAACAAAAGTTGTCGAAAATAAACTGATATTTAAAAATGGATTAATGCATTTTATTGATTAATTTAATATTTCTAGAGTTATTGGCCGTGATATAAAAACCGGTTCATTAAATGGGCCATTAATGGTAAACGGTAAGTTTTACAAAAAAGTTTACAGGAAACAAAAGATGCGAAATTTTACTTTCTAAAATAATATATAATCTATAACGTTAAAACGTGCATAGATTCTGAGATATCCGGCTGAAAAAGTTTTTTCAAGATGGCGCTTGAAGCGCCACTTGGATCTGTCAGCATTTTATGATTTGATGCTCGTAAGTGATCTTCATCCTTAAAAAAAAATTGGATCGGAAATTTAGTGCAAAGTTAAATTCTATTTTTACTGGCCTGGAACAATACCTTCCAATTGTGCTAGTCACGCTAGTATTCAAGTTACAGGTGACACCTGAGTAAATCTTGGGTTAGGGAGTAACTTAATTTTTAAAGTGTAACATGAGTTTTAACTCTACTTTCAGCATCACAAATATTGTTAACCGGGATTTTAAGTGCCGATTGTCTACGTGGTTGACAGTGAAGGAAAGTGGAAACCTGCATGTTAGAAAAAAATTTAGGTCGTGTGAAGTCTGCCTACTCAATCGTAGAGCTCTCTGAAGTAACATGATTTTCTACGTAAACCCTAACAAACTCCCGTCACTATACATTTATGAAGTTGGCATGTTTGTCTTTAAAAATAAGCCATTGTTTATTAAAGCGCGTGATATATATCCACGAAACTGACGTAACCCAGAAAAACTAGTTCTAGATGTTATTCCTAGATTCGTTAAATACAACAAAAGTTGCCTAAATATGTGTATAAAAATATTTAATAAACTGCCTAACGAATTTAAATTATTAAGCGAAAGATTATTTAAGAAACATTTGTTTAATTTTTTAAAAACCGAATGTTATTATGACGTATAAGATTTTTTTAGATTGTAATTAATTAATATTGTTGATTTTGTATTTGCATGCGATTGCACTAGACAAATTGTAAGATCTTTTATACCGTCATTCTTGTAAATAAAAATTTATGATTTATAATTTATGCTGGAACATTTATAAAGTTTATAGTTTTAGCGTTATTAATTTTTGTGGCTTGGCAATAATAATTTTGCATAAATTGTTGTAGAAAAATATGTTTCGAATAACAGAAATAGTTTATGATACTTAAAAAATATTTTTATTAAAAAAATTAGTACTTTATGCGTGATACGTTCATAAATAAACAGACAGATAGACAGAAATGGAGTCCTTTAAATCATTTCTGTCACAAAATTCTACAATACCAGCAATTTACATTTTTATTAAATGCATATATATAATAATGTATTAGAATATTATAATTTATTACCTTATTTTATGTTTAAAATAAAGATTAAATATTATTATTAATAATAATAACATTATAAAATAATTTATTTATAGCGTCGACTCGACCCCAATAAAATCGTTAATTGAAGTTTTAAGCACTGATACACTGATGATAATATTTTATGCTCAAAAATCATAGGCCTGTGTTTAGCCGTGATTCCTATTAGTGATTCCTATTTATTACATATATATATATATATATATATATATGATATATATAAATATTTTATTATAATATTTTCTTTTTGAAAAAAAAAAGAAAAACTGATTGTAATTTTAATTCTGTTATTATCGATCTTCTTAACTATAGTCAACCAAATCTAATGGTACATTTACACGCTTGCCAAGCCTTGGCAAAGATCGACAATCGCAAGCATGTAAAAAGGGTGTTTGGCTTGGCTTGCGTGGGCTTGTGCCTGCTTGCTTTCGATCCAGTCGAGTGTCGGTTTTTTTACGCAGATCAAAGGGCGTTTGCGGCAAGCGCTTACGATGCATTTACATGTTGCTCCGCGTTTAGTAATTAGTAGCCATTGTGATCTCGCGGCGAGTACACGCTTGCTTGATTTTACAAAAAATAAATAAAAAATGAGTTGCTGGTCGAATGAGGATAGTCTTTCGTTTCAGGAACATTACCAAATGGAACCATGCATCTGGAATCAGAAAGATGCAAATCATAAAGATAAGAAGAAACAAGCAGATGCATGGATTAGTCTTGCTGAACTTACTGGAAGGCCAGTAAAGGAAATAAAAAATAAAAAGGAGACATTGATGACTACTTTTCGCAAGCACTTGAAAAAAAAGCGTTCTGGCGCAGGTATGTTCCTACGATACATTTATAATTATTTTGATAGTCTGCTTAGCAAGGTGTAACTTATGTTTAAAATTGTTGGTTAGTTTATCGATTATTCCGCAACTATCTCGCTCTAATTTTCGATGTTTTTATTTTATTTTAGGTGCCGAAGAAATATACAATCCAACTTGGTATGCTTACGAAACCATGGAGTCATTTTTACTACCAGTATATACTTGCAATGAAGGGATAAACACCGAAACAGTAAGTAAATAAATTTATTTATTCTGAATTAAAAAAAAAACGCCGTTGGTTATTATACCTACATTTATTTATACATTTTATCAACTTATCCAATCCTATTAAAATATGAAGTAAATTCTTCCCTGACTTCTCTGGCGTTCACCGGAGATCTTCGTGGTATTTGTGGTAAATTTTGCAATGCATTATATTCCTCGTTATTTCTATGCCATGAACCAGGGGTAAACATATTTCCACTACTGTCATATACGTCAAACGAACTCTGAGGAGTATATCGATTTGAAGAACTTTTACTTGCTCTCAAAACGTTATGTAGTAACACACAAGTCATCGTAAATTCCACATCGTTACAGTTTGTGGTTCTAAATTGATAGGGCGTCTGAATATTCTGAAAACTGAGGTTAAAATTCCAAACGTATTTTCAACTACAACTCGGGATCTAGATAAATTTTGGTTAAATACCCTTTTTGGTGAGCCTACTTCATGGTTTCCAGGGTAGGGTTTCATTACGTGTTGACTCAACGCAAAAGCACCGTCAGCTAAAAACACGTATGGAATATTAATATTCAATCCTGGAAGTGGACATGGTGGTGGAAAATCTATCTTGTTTCTAATTATTCTTTTCCATAGTAAACAATTATTAAAGACGTCGCCGTCACTTATTCTTCCTTGACTCCCGATGTCTGCGAATACAAATTTGTATTTGCTATCCACTAAAGCCAAAAGGACAATGCTAAAAGTTTTCTTATAATTGAAATACTCTGTTCCACTATGCGTTGGACTTTCAATGACTACATGCTTGCCATCCAATGCACCTATGCAATGTGGAAATTTAGTCCTGAATCCTTCTTCTATATTAAGCCATCCTTCTGCTGTGGTGGGCATCTGTAAAAAGAAAGTAAATGAAGTGTAAGTTTAAGTATATTATTTTTTGGCAGCAATCACAACAAATAGAAGAAGACACAGATCAGACAGAGGATGACCCTCTGATAAGAAACCGTACAAGTACGGTTTCCACACCATCCACACCACCATCTAGATCACCATCCAGACCACCATCCATACAAGTTGTTACTAATAAACGTCGTCGCCCTGCTTCTGAAATGGCTGAAAAGCAAATGGACGTGGCTTTTGGACAATTAACAAATGTTTTGGGTCAAAGGCAGAATGAAAATATACCTGCTCACAAAGACGATGATTGCGATCTATACGCAAAATTATTGGCTATAAAGCTACGTGAACTGTCAACTGATGAACGAAAAAATATGATGTACCAAATAGATGGGTTGTTTATAAACAGAATCAGTCAAAAATCAAATGAGCATCATACACCATACCCTCAATATTATTCTCGACCGTCGTCAATGGCTGGTGCATATTCAACACCATCTCCTCAAGTCATTCCGAGTCGGCCAACATCAGTTAATAGTGTTTATTCTGAACCTATTCATAACAACCAAAGTTTTTTTCCCTCTCCAAACACACAAACTTCTTATTCAGCGCCAGACATGGCAAAACATATACCAACTCCAATAGCTCCAGCTCCGTCTACATCAACAGCACCCTCGTCATCTATTCGTATCATATCGGACCAAATCATCAACCCAGCCCCACGTGAAACCAACATTATAAACATGGCTATGTTGAATGCTTGCGAAGATTTTGATTCGTCGACATAATTCTTATTTAAATTAATAAATAATTAAACAATAAAGCAGTCGGCTAACATACATTCATAGAACAGATTTCCTATGATTCTATTAAAATCGAAATAAATGTATAACATAATGTTTTGTTTTATTCCTACCTTAACTAGATCTTTTAGAATTTTATTAAGAGCTCGGCAAACTTCACGAATGATTATTGATATCATAGAGACAGATACTTTAAACAAGTAGTGAAGGCTTTTGTAAGAATCACAAGATGCCAAAAATCGTAGCGTAATGGCAAGATGAAATTTGTCTTGTATAGCTTCACTGAAGTCTGTATCGTGCTTGGATATCATGGGTGAAATTTTTTGTAAAAACTAAAAACAAGATTACCACCAACTATAATAAAAACAAAACCATATAAAAGTTCATTAAATTTCTCTTCTATAAATTGTCTGTAACAAATAAAATATATCGTAAGTGTTGTGGCATAACTCAACTGCAACAGATAATGGTTAAATCAAAATAGTAGTTACCTGGTACGATTATGATGAATCTTTTTCATCCACCATCTTCGCTGTCGTCGAGTTCTCCTTTTTTATTGACTTTGCTTACATTTCAAATATAAGTACGTTAAACCAAATGCAATAGCCGTCACAAGTTCGGTGTCCGCCATGCTTGGATGTATATTGCAGACTGACGCATTCACAAGCGTATAAACGCCTTTCCAACGCCAAACGAGATTTGTGGAGGCTTGGGACTGTTTGCAGTTTGCCAAGGCCTGGCAGGCGTGTAAACGTAACATAAGAACATTGAGCTATTATGTACTACGTACTAGAGGCGACACTGCATTCAGCTACTCTGTTCCACTCAACTGCGGTGCATACACCGCATCTTAATCAGTCACTCGATAGGCGCTTGTAGAGTTGTCACGTGTTGTGTTGATTTAAAAAATCTCTTAATAAAAATATGCCGTCGTGTGTACTTAGATATTGCACAAATAATTCAAGAAATGTCAGTAAAAACCAAGGTATTACTTTTCATCAGTTGATAGATAGACTATCTATCAGTTGATAGACTTAATAAATAAAAAATATTATAAATTAATAATAAAACAAATTATTCTTAAGACGCCATCTTGTGTCATGTAATATAGATTATGAAATTAATTTGTTCAGATGCGTCATTTTTGTGGGTACTTAAGTATAGGACGAATATATTATTATACACTTTTTTTTTGTAGAAACATAATATATGAGTTATCATAATTAGGCCATTTTTTTATTTAAATCTGCTCATTATTCTTTTATATTATTTTTAGGTTTCCACATCACAGTCAAAGCGGAATAAATTCGTCCATTTTTAACTCTCGCGTGCCCAGCATTTACGAATGACTCTTATTCTAATTTAAATAAATAAATGAAATTTAAATTTTATATTAATAAGTTTTTTTAAACAAACATTTAGTATGTTTTTTTATATTTGACATAGATACCTTTTAAAATATTCAGATAAAATATCATTAAAATGTAATTATGATATAATATTATGTAATATTATATTAAATAAGCAAATATAATATACAAAATATATGACAAAATTTGAAAATTGTTCTCGATATAATTTACCTATTTAATAATACAATCTATTATTACGTACTGATTATTCTACCTATGTTTATTCTATGATAAAAAAACCAACCGCGCGTACATAGAGTAGCGCACATGTTTTGTTTGAACTAGCTGTTCTAGTACGTAAGTACATATTATTTCAATGCATAAGAAATACCTTTTGACGTTTCACATTAATTATTCAGCAATAACTTTGCACAAGCGTACTCACACGATTTAAAATAACCATTTACGTAAATTCGAAGAATTATAAAGTTATATATATTTCATTACAACGTGTATAGTTTTTTATCACTAATTTAAATTTAAATCTTTCAAACAAAGCAAAACCAGTATCAACTTTTTGTTGCATGGCCTGTATGTATGTCTATTTTTGGCACGTTCTGTAACCTAAACAGCTTGTTGGATTTTAATAAGGACGTGTCGTTAAACTCGTCTTAATTGTGGGAGTGACTTAGGGTCAGCTCACACTGACAGGACGCGAAGCCACGCGGTGCGCACTTCTTAAGATAGTAATACATTTTGCATTACTTACTACACAATAAGATACACATTTTATTGAGATAATTCTAAAATGCCCCGCGGCGCAGCGCTACGCCGCGCTACTCATCGAGATGTCTACCGGCGTATCGCAGCTTACCGCGGCGTATCACGACGCAGAGGTACTTTGTCAGTAGGCGCAGCGAGTAAAAACGGTGCGCTGACAGCGACTTCACGATGCGCCGTACGACGTCGCGATGCGGTTCACGGCCGGGCTGCTCGGTACGAATCCACTGGCCTCTTCAATTTTTTGTCCCGTCTGTGGACTAAGATGGAACTCTCGTTGCCTGTAAAAGTCTGTCTCCGGTTCCCTACACTCACCAAACGAAATGTAACAGCATTGAGCTGCTATTTTATGCTGGTATTCTGAGAGTGTGGTCCCCGGTCGAGCCGACTCATTTGTGCTTCAATTATATGGCTCTACCATGTATTTTGTAATGACTATTATGGCCAAATCGCCTGCCAAGCGCAATAGTAATAATATTCTCGACTATGGTAGATGTAGGACCTTTAATATATCAGTAATTTTACAATATTTTATAATATACACTAGTTGTAACTTTCCAATTAATAGTGATGTGCAACCTACTACTCACTTTCTATCGATGGTCGCGACTCGGTACGGTACCATCTCCGTCACGCTAACGGGTACTCTAGTACTTAATTGAATCGATTCCACAACGTCTGTTATTGCATTGTAATAAAGAGAGTAATTGATTGATTTCAGTTCAACTTGGCCGGGGCGAAAGTGACGTTAATTCATTTCATTTGATTGGATGAGTGAACATTAATTAGCGTAAACCCGCTCTTACTCATAAAAATGTGATTAGGGATTTTACTATAATCGACGTTTAGTGGCGGTGTAAGAATATCCACCATCCCATATCGTACCTATGGCAACGTAAGAGACAATGAACGGAAACAAATCAAGAGATTTTCAGCAGCGTCTTCCTAATAGCAACTAAAAGAATATGAGCAATCTGCGGCTGCCAACACCAGGCGGCGTAACAATGGGAAGTATCTCCCTATGAGGGTAATTCCCTCATAGGGAGATAGAGGAGAGATAATGTGGGAGACTTAGATCAGTAATGTGCACGAAATGTGTTTAGTTCGTGATCTTTGAAGGGATTTATTGCTGCCAGTTTCCCGTTTTAATAAATTAAATAAAACATGAGTACCGGTTCACAATTGACAAAAATACGCGTAACACATACAAATAAAAACACAAAGCTAAATTGTGAACCTCTTTCTTCTTTTGATGTTGACAAAGAACTTTGTTATTTATAAAAAGACATCGACTTTAATCGATACTGATACATTTACACAAAACAACGATATCACGATATAATATAATGTGCACGAAACGCCGTAAATTGATTTTAAACCCACATTGGTAAGTGTTTATGTCTGAAATTTTACAAAGATAAACTATATTTTTTTTGCCGTGTAGTGGCGGTTAAGAATATCCACTACCCCATATCATCCCGTGGGTGTCGTAAGAGGCGACAGAGGGAGACAGGCAGGAGATGGGCCGCAGCGTCTTCCTGATGACAACTGTGACGTAATAAAAAAACCGCGGTTGCCAACCCGCTCGCCAAGCGTGGCAACTATGGCAAATACCCCCCAATGAACAAATACACAAACAGACGGCCCCCCAGTCCCCGGCGGCCCCGCTATTCCTGGCTACGGTGGCGACCATGGTAACGGCGGGGCAGGGGGTGCTAAGAATCTCCGGTGGAGGTTCGGTTGCCACCTACGACGACTCGACCTGGCAACATATAACGCACGCACCCTGAGGACTGACGAGAAGATACTGGAGCTGGAAGAAGAGGTAGACAAGTTGCGCTGGCATATTATTGGATTATCCGAGGTCCGAAGAGGGGGGAGGACACGGCAATCCTCGAGTCCGGCAACTTGTTCTATCACCGGGAGGGCGACCATCTGTCCCAAGGAGGTGTCGGATTTATCGTCCACAAATCTCTCGTCAACAACGTTGTAAAGATTGGGAGTGTGTCGACGAGGGTCGCGTACCTGATACTCAGAATCACCAAACGGTATTCGCTGAAGGTCATTCAGGTTTACGCACCAACCTCGGCACATCCCGATGAGGAGGTGGAGGAAATGTATGAGGATATTTCCAGAGCCATACATTCCTCCAGAACCTACTACACGGTGTTGATGGGAGACTTCAACGCAAAACTGGGCACAAGAGAAAGCGGTGAGCTGAAGGTAGGGAAATTTGGAGTAGGGCAACGGAACCGAAGGGGCCAGCAGCTGGCCGACTTTATGGAGAAAGAGGGACTCTTTATGATGAACTCTTTCTTCCAGAAGCGGCCCCACAGGAAGTGGACCTGGTCGAGCCCCGACGGTTCGACAAAAAATGAGATTGACTTCATTATGACGACCAGACGCCAACTGTTCAGTGATGTCTCAGTGATCGCAAGGGTGAAAACTGGCAGCGATCACCGAATGGTTAGAGGCACACTGAACCTAAACGTTAAGTTGGAGAGGTCTCGTCTAATGAAGTCAACGCTCCGTCCCCCTCGTGCTCTAATCCAGAATCCCGAAACCTTTCAGCTCGAGTTACGTAACCGCTTCCAGTGCCTAGAAGATTGCAATGCAGTGGACGATATGAACGACAAGCTCGTGGAAACTGTCCATGCGGTCGGAGCTAAGTTCTGTAAGACCCGCCGCAGAAGAACACAAAAACTCTCCGATCACACTCTTAATCTCATGGCTGTTAGACGGGAGATGAGGCTGCAATCGTCAACAGATTTGACAGCATACAGGCAACTGAACAGACAGATCTCCAAATGCATACGGCGAGACTTACGCAACTTTAATACTTCTCGTATTAAA